TTTACTTGTATTTAAATATTTCCTGGGAGAAGCTGGACCAATGGGAGCTGCACAGGCCTTTGACCTTGGGCGCTCGTCCCTGTGTGGATGGTCTGCCTTTGGGGATCCTCATCCTGGTTGTCTGTCCTTCCCATGATCACCAGCGTGGGGCAGCATCACTTCCTACCAGCTGCCTCTGCTCAGCTCCAGTCCCCTGGCACCAGTCTGCTTCTCTGCCATCAGTGATGCTGACTTTCCCAGGCCAGTGTTAGGACCCATTTGTATCCACGAGTGCCTAGAATGTGGCTGCAAAGTGACTCCTGAACCTCTGGCTGTGCTTTCTGATGAGGGCAGGGACACAACTGAGCTCACCCTGCATCTCTGTGTGATCCTAGATCTGGGAAGATGTTTGAAAACAGGGATAAATGAATGAGTTTGCAGGACAGTTTGATTTGCTCGGAGCTCAGTGCCCAGCTGCTCTGGCTTCGCTCTCTAAAGGTAAACTGCTGGCAGCTTCTGGCAACGGAGTCATTTTGGATACCTGTTTGTGTACCTTTTCTTAGGGACCACGAGGAGACACCGGACCCCAGGGAAATACAGGGATCGCAGGGTGTCCAGGGGAGCTGGGTCAAAAGGTAAATATTCTACTTTAAATTCCCTCTCACTCCATCCCTGCCCTCTCCCGTGTTCTCTTCCATCTCCCCTTCCGCGTTCCCTTCCTCCAATTACATGTTAGTTTCCTCCTCTGCAGATTAAGTTTTACTTCTTAGTAATCTCAAGAAGTCTGGAGCCTTAACTGAATTCCACCCACAGCCTCTTAGTGGTTGTACAGCCAAAAGCAACCAAAGAAATACACAGTCCCTCTCTTTATGGAGGCGGCCCCCTTCCTGCTCCAACAGGCTACAAGTTCACGTTCTGTCTTTGGCGGGCCGCTGAGAGATATCTGCTCTTTTACAGGGAGCCAGAGGACTTTCTGGATATAAGGTACTGTAGTTTCTTCTCAGTCAAGTTTCATTTCCTGGTGGGGTCAGGGAGCCCTCTGACCTGACTGCTGTCCATGCTGTCTCGCAGGGAGAACATGGGGACGACGGGGTTGATGGACTCAGCGGGGAAGAGGTAAACCAGGCTTCTTCAAGTACCATGAAATTGTCAGGAGGCTGATGTATTTCTTTAATGGGAAGTTTGTTTGCTTTATCTCCTTTCAGGGCGTGCGTGGATTTCCCGGCAATAAGGGAGAAAAAGGGGACCGAGGATCCCAGGTAACACTTTTCAATACATCAAAGAAGGAGAATTTGGTGTCAGAAATAGTCTCCACTGTTGGGTGTCAGAGGTTAAGAGCGGTGAAGTTGACAGTTGACTTGACCACAGAGTGAAGGTCTGTTACCACTGAATACAAGCTGCATCTCTGTTCAGGGCAAGCAGGTAACTGTAATTTTCAAGAACTTCCAGCTGGAAAGATTCAAGGCTTGCAAAGATCGTCTCCGGACATGTTTTTTCAGAAGTCTGAAAATGAATGCACTGTCAGAAGCTTCTGTGTCCTCTTTATTGCCTTAGAAAAAAATAAAAAGCAAGATAAAGAGACAAAATTATTTTGGTGGTTTTGGTGTCTCAAATCACAGTGAAACTTTTTTTTTAAATTTTCAGTTCATTTCAACACTTACTCATATGTGCCTTCTTGGTTCTGAGTGGCTCAAATTTTATGTTCTAATTTACTTATTTACCAAATACTTTTGAATGCCTGGCACGTGCCAGGCATTGGGTTATGTGCTAAAGACTCAGAGGTGAACCACACTGTCCTTGTCTCCACGGGTCCTCCAGTATAGCTGGGGAGACAGATGATGACACAGAGTGTGGCTTAGGCCATGTTAGGGGCAGCCTGCGGAGGGCACCTAACCCCACAGGGTGGGGAGGAAGGGTAGGAAATCTTCCTGGAGGAAATGGTCCCGGAGCTGAAGGAATTAGCAAGGCATGGAGAAAGGGCGTTCAGACAGGGGAACAGCATAAGCGAAGGCACGGAGGCTTGGGGGCTCAGGAGCCAATGAGGGGGAGTCTGGGTTTCATTCATTGATGGTGGGGAGACTTTGGAAGATTTTAAGCAGGGCGATCACGATCGAATTAGCATTTTAGGAACATGATGTGGCAGTAGCGTGAAGGCTGTGTTGGAGGTGCTGTAGATGGAGAGCAAAGATGAGAGGTGGGTCTGTAATAACCAAGGCGGAAAGCTGTCAAGTAAAGCAACGGCAGTGCGAACAGACACAGGACCCGTGAGGGACGGAACAGGGACCAGACTGGTGTGAGTACCCGGTGTGCAAAACCCACTCATTCTCAGTGTTATGCAAAGGGTGAGTGTCTGCCTAAATTTTGCATCCTAGGTACCTGGCTGGTCTCACCCCAGTTCTGGCTCCACAATGTAAGATCTCCAAGGCTAGGTGACCAGAGGAGCAGCAAATGCAAAGTCAGTCAAAATGTCTGCAAAACTTGCCTGGCTTGGGCGAGTTTAGTTGGGAACCATTGAGTGTGTGGTGACAATGGGACATGCCAGTGGAGGTGTCCAGTGGGCAGCTTCTTTACAGGTCAGAAGTTGCTAGACTGGCTGGGATGTCCAATCTGATACCCACTAGCAATATGGGACTCTTTACATTCAAATTGAAAAATTCACTTCCATGGTATTTGCCGCATTTCACGTGCTCGGCAGTGCTAGTGGCCACTATACTGGACAGCGCAGATTTAGGACACTTCCATCTCTGCAGAAAATTCTGCTAGGAAGTGCTCTGCTAGACCAGGAGAACTCTGCCCACTTCCCAGCCTTGTTACCAGTAATCCTGACCCAAGATTTAAAACAGGGCTTGGGACTGCTTGAGAAGTCTAAGGGAAGCTGATTGGGGACAGAGGAACATGGATCACTTGTCCGATAGATTTTCTCCCTTCGAACGCCACTACGCCTGACATGTTAACACCCTCCTACAAGCCAGCTCAGAAGCTCATTGTATTTTTTTCAGGGCAGCCCAGGTTCCAGAGGCACCCCTGGAGGATATGGGGAGAAGGGCTTCCCAGGGGATCCTGTAAGTTCCTGGGGCCCCGGTGGCTTTGAAACGTCTAATTGCTCCACGTCTCTCTCCTTTCTCTTGTGTCTCCTGCCAGCCTGTAGGCAGAGGCTTGTCTGGGGAGGGGGGTGGTAGGTGTCGACCAAGGTTTATTGGTTTGGGAAAAATCTGCATGTGATCTGGGCTGGTTATATTAAGAATTCAGGGAGGGAACTAAAGTTCCATCTTCTTCATCCTTGTGTCTTGAGACTTCCAAGTTCCTTTGGGGGTGAAATTTCCCTAAATTTTGCTTATTGGGCTGCTAATCTTGCACATTCCCCTGTTCTTAGACTCGCTCACAGGGGTATCTTATTACACCTTTAAGGGCGTGGCACAAGCATGTTTGTGCATCAGTGAAGCTTCCAGTACAGAGAAGGGACAATCGCCGTCTCTTCAGCAAGCGTTCCTCTAATTCTTCATTGATCCCTTAGCCTCCTTCAAACTGGGGGAGATATTGCATTCATTTTTAAAAAGAAATCTGTGAGTTTCCAATATGGAAAAATTTCTCCTACCTTTTGTTATTTACCCCAAATTAGCTTATTTCTTTGACTATTATACCATTTTGAAAAAAAAAAAAAGCTACTGTTTCTTGATTCTAAAGTACTTTTTAAATCTCTCTCCAGGGTAATCCAGGACAGAACAATAATATCAAAGGACAAAAGGGGTCCAAAGGAGAACAAGGAAGGCAGGTAATTGGGTCGGTTTTACATAAATGAGTTGGTTAATTCTGTTACTGTGCTGAGGCTGTCCTAACGTCTAATATTAGTTTTTTAATAAAATATGTAACCACTTTCATAATTGAATAATCGCCCCCTAAGTTCACATTTAAGAGAGCCTTATTTTCTTAAAATAAGGCATGTGTGTAGCTGGTGACACTTCTGTGGGCAAAATTGCGAAGTTTCTGGTGATGCCATTATGTGGGGAAACTGGTCATGGCAGTGCCTGTTCCTGTCTCATTTTCTTCTTTGATGGATTTATACCCAGTAGTGTCAATGCGCAGAAAGATTCTGGCAGGACGCGTTTGTTCTGCTGCCTTAACTGTGCCTGAGTTTGCATTGCTGACAGCTTTGTCATTCGCTCGGCATCTTTTGCTTTACCATCTTGGGGGAATGGTTGTATTTCTAGGGTAGAACCGGCCAGAAGGGGACACCAGGCAGCCCCAGTTCCCAAGGAAGCAGGGTAAGTGACCCCGTGGACGTTTGTCTCCCTTCCTTGTGGCCTGACGCTGCCGCAGAGGCACACAGAACGCGTGTCGCTGCAGAGGCAGCTGGGCTGCGGCTGATACGTGGACGCTGTTGTCCTTGGGGGGCTAGATGAGTCTTTGTTGTGGGGGGCTGTCCTGTGCATGATAGGGTGTTTTGCAGCCTCCCTGGTCTCTACTCACTAAATGTCGGTAGCACTCCCTCCCTGCAGTTGTGACATCCAAAAACGCCTGCCGACATTGCCACCCATCAGTCGGGGCAGTGGAGGATGGGCTGGAGGGCACATCACCCCTGCCTGAGACCCACTCCCACGGTCTGCCTTTCCCTTGCCACCTGACAGAGGCTTTTGGATGTCCTTGACATAAAAGCCCTCCTCCGGTGTCTTAGCATCTCTGAGCTCCTATGAGAATATTAAGAAACAGGTAAACATACTCTTTTCCTCTTCATACACTGAGGACAGGAGAGAAAAATCACAGATAAATTCTTCTGGAATGAACCAAAACATTGGAGACGGGCCAAGCCAGTGGCAACCCCGAGACCCTGGAGTAATTTTACAGCATCCTGCGTGAGATCAAGCCCCACACAGGGACATCAGATTTGCCCTTCTTTTTAGGAACAGCCAAAGATCGCTTTCCCCTCTGTGGACTAGTGAAGTTAGGGACGCTATTTGTAACAGGTTAGAAACCCCTCTTTCGTGCCCTCGGAGTGAAGTTCAAAAAAGAGAGTTAAGTACAATGTCCTGGATTCGATGCTGAGTTTTGTCCAAGAGGACGCTGAAAATGCTTGGCTCCCTTTTCTGTTACAAGCTTGGAAGCTTCCCACCACTTCGAAATCTGCTGCCAATTGCTTCTCTCTCTGGGGTGGATGGTGGGCGAATGTTTTCATTCCTGTCACTTTTGTTTATCTTGAGTCATAATTCTTACGGGAAGGGGGTTGCAGCTGGACGGCTTAGGTGTCCCAGGGCTTCTGGTGAAATTCTCTGGGACTCTTCCCTCCTTTCCACACAAGAAGATTAAAATTAATCAGCGGAAGCAGGAGAGCAGTAAGATGAGCTAACTGCTAGGAATTTGAAAGATAAACCTGTGTGTTTGTTGGTTTGAAATAGCTTTATAGCTGTGACCGTCAGTCAAGCGCTTTTAGAAAAGAGATGCCCGGGGTGGGGAGGGGATTATTCTTCAGGCAAACCAGCCAGTGACGTTACATGACTCCAGGCACAGGGGGCTCTCAGCCTCCCTCCCCGTCTTCACCCGCTTTCCTGCCCGTCTCCTCGTTTGCAACCTCTTTTCTCTTGAAATAAACAA